TGATAGCTCTGATATAGTCACACCCTCCTGCGCTTAATCAGAGGTGGGAAACTTAACCGCACATACATTTGACCAGTTAGTCCTCGTCATTGAAGTCTTCTCTCTTTCTAAAGCATGCTGCTTTAAGATGCTTACTATGAAAGAAATATATCACCTCTGCATGGCATGTTGTATAGAACAAAAAATAATTTCAATACATAATTGGGCAAGCAGCACAAAAGTGAAATTAGATTTTCCCCCAAGTGTTCTCAGAAAGAATGTTCCAGTTTTATAAGAGAAGACTTGCTAAGCCTCCTACAGACAGCTGATGAGAAACTCAGAGTCTAACCGACTGTTTCTCGCTGCCAGGTCGGACCCTCGGCCGCCGTCTACAGTCACTCTGTGCCTCCTCTCACTCTAGGGGTTCATCACAGGCATTTTACACAAGCAACATGGGAATGTTTCAGAAAGCGATAAAGTAATACACTGGCACATATTTACATACAGATCAAAAACATAAACAAGTGTACTGACTCTTTGAAATTACAGGTAACTCATCACATGGCTGCCAGGAGAGGAATTATCATTCGGGGGCGGGGGGGGGGGTCAGCGCATTAAGTGCATTTTCACTGGGAATGCTTGACGGAAATGAGTGGGCAGCGGCAGAGTTCTGGACCCTCAGGTCTCACTTCATTAGTGTTTCCACCAGAACCACAAGGACACGTGGAGGCCTTATACTAGTGTGTGAGAGGATATGAGTGTGTGTGTAATAAACAGCCTCACCCATTTATCTTCAAGGAATGCTCTAACAGATCAAATTTGGAGTCTTTCACAACACACACACACACACACACACACACACACACACACACACACACACACACACACACACACACACACACACACACACACACACACACACACACACACACACACACACACACACACACACACACACACACACACACACACACACACACACACACACACACACACACACACACACACACACACACACACACACACACACACACACACACACACACACACACACACACACACACACACACACACACACACACACACACACACACACACACACACACACACACACGTAGCATCATGTTAATAAACAAGTAGAAGATGGACTGGAATCAGAATCTGGGACAATAAAATGACTACTATTGCCGCTGCTGCTGACAGTGGCTGCTTTTTCCCTTATGTAGGTTACACCTTTTTGTACTCAAAGATTATTTGTTGGGGGGAGGAGAGGTCGCTGGTGGGGATGGTGGGAGGACTGGTGATGGGGAGGGGGGGGTCCGGACTCTAGAACTGTTCAGCCAGCAGCTCGCACAGACGCTTGGAGACGGAGTCCTTACTGCAGCGCAGAGTCAGACGGTACATCTGCAGACACACACGGGAAAAAAGATTTTTAACAGAGACATTTTTCAACGCAGCCCAAAAATATGAACGGGGTCTGAACATTAGAGTGGTGATGCCCTCTCTGAAAGCCCAATAGGTATTTTAGTTTTCAACTATGCATGGTCCCTGCTAATCAAAAATAAAATGTATATAAACGAATGTAAACTAAAGATAATGTACATTTAAAAAATATATATTCAAACAGGGAAGCACACTGCTCGGTAGTGACCAACAGATTGGCTGGTATTCTTGGATAGAGATCCAACATTTTGAAAACAATACCAATAACAATCAGGAAAATGACAAACGGAGACTGGCCTCACTGGTCCTGGTTTAACAGACATTTTTCAGGTTTGTGAAGAGGCACCAAATGGGCTACTTTGGTAGAATTTGGAATGCGAGTATGTATAAAAGTAGTACTGAACCAGCTCAGTGTTTCTGTTCATATCTAATTAACTATAAGTAAGGGGATTGGAAATTGACCACACATTAGATAGGACATAAAGCAGAATCATATATTTTAGTCAGGGCTGGCAAAGTGGATGCGATAACAATGCGTTAACGCAACTTCATTTTAATGCCACTCATTTTTTTCAGGAAATGGTGGTGAGTAACGGTTGGATGGCAAGCATAGATGTTTGAAGAGCACTGGATTCAGCGGATTCATCAAAGTTGCTCAGTTCACAGTTCTGGGCCCAAAGAGAGTGAGCACCTCCCTCTGATATCCCGCTCTCCACTCAGTCAGATGAATGGAGGGGGAAAAATAACTCTGTATTCTGTATTTTACAACTTTTAGACACTGAGGATATAAATAAGGGCTATAAAAGGGTTCGTACCGTGTAGTGTTTTTAGCTGAAAAAAACGACAAGCTGATTTACAGACTCCCTTTCCCAATGTACGTCACTGGGAAAAAGTATTTCTGAGCCCAAATGACGTCACGGAATAGAATGTAAGTGTAGTACCGACGTTTAGCCACTACCAACATTTGCTTCAATGGCCGGCGCACTTCCTGGGGGCTTGATGGCGAGCAGAAACAATCCTCAAAAGAACAGTTCAGCTCCAAAAGCCCCGCCAGACGGTTCTCCACAACACCATAGGTTTGTTTGCTGTCCACGGAGTACGTGGAGTCTTTAACACCACTTGCTGGCCAGGCGTACAGCTGATGAATGTTTTAATAAATTAACCTAAATGTGTCTTTGTTTTGTTGAAATAATAAGGAATATACAATAGGTATAAAGCAATCATATTTGTTCAATGTTGATAAGACTATCGAAACTTAAAAAATATCCCTTTAAGTTAAATTTAAAACATAAAAAATGTGTGAGTGAGTTAACTATGGACATAATGCTATTAAATACCTTTATCTATGGACAACCCAAATGTATATAGCCCCATATCACAAATGACACATTTGTCTTAGGGGACTTTACAAACTGTACAGAATAAGACCCCCTCTCTCCTTAGACCCTCGCAGAAACAAGGAAAAACTCCCAAAGAGAGCCCACAGTAAACGGGGGAATAAAAGGTGGAAACCTCAAGGAGAGCAACAGAGGAGGATCCCTCTCCCAGGACGGACAGTGCAGTACATGTCGTGTATATATGTATGTTTTAATACATAGCTAATACAGTTACATCATAGACAAGCCAAATGTTTAAATGATGTGAATGTATATAATAAATATGGATCCACGAGGATTTCAAAAATCTTTCAGTTGTTGCCAAAAAAACATTTGCTGCAAACGAGGCTCTGATATGCGTGTATCATCTGGACTATAGGAAAACAGGAGCAAACCTTAGCAAAGACTCCTCAGTAAGCGTTGTACTGTACCTGTGCCTGGCTGTTGGGCTCCAGTCTCAGCAGACAGCCCACCTGCTGGCCCTTGGTCTGGATCACTCCAGCACACACATAATTCTCAGGGTTGGGATCCACGTCCTCCAGCAGGGCCGATCCCAGTCCCAGGAGCTACCCGCAACATAGCAACATATGAATGAGCAGGAAAGAAGGGCACCATCAGAGGATTAGAATAATACAGATCTACAATGAGATAGTCAGCGGTGTAAAGAACACGTACCTTTGCCTTAAGAACTTCTGTGTCCATGCCGTGGTTAGCCTTGAATATCTTCTGTGCTTCTTGTTGTGGTCTGAAGAAAGTTCACAAAGGACATTATTAAGTCCCTAACTGACATCACACACAAACAGACACACAAAAACACACTTACTGGCTGAGCTGTTTCCAGCGCTGGAAGAAGTCGTGTGAAGTCATCTCGGTGGGCTGGAAGAACTTGTTGATGGTGACAGGCAGCTTTAGGGTCAGGTTCTGCAGAGCTCCCCCATATCTGACACACACACACACACACACACACACACACACACACACACACACACACACACACACACACACACACACACACACACACACACACACACACACACACACACACACACACACACACACACACACACACACACACACACACACACACACACACACACACACACACACACACACACACACACACACACACACACACACACACACACACACACACACACACACACACACACACACACACACACACACACACACACACACACACACACACACACACACACACACACACACACACACACACCATTTTAGACTAAGTATATGTAGGCAGAAAGATAGCTAAAGTTATGTTCAAAAGTGGACATACATTTGTAAAGAACATGCATGTCCTCTACAACTCCAGTGATTGGAGCACAAAAATAAATAAATCATGAAGTTTTTTTCTTTTATGAATTTATGAGTCTTCTGAAAATGTGATCATATCTGCTGGGTCAAAAATATACATACAGCAACATGAATTATACATTTTGGTGATGTAAAAAGTTGTGTCAATCAATGTTGCTTTGTTACGTGGCCTCTTAACTTCTTGTGAGTGATTATAATTGACTATAGCTGGTAACCCATTTAACTAGGGCTCATCTGATACAATCATTAGACTCAGCCACAAACGCTACAATGGGAAAGTCAAAGGAGCTCAGCACAGATCTGAAAAAGATCATTGATTTGAACAAGTCAGGAAAGTCACTTGTAGCCATGTCAAAGCAGCTAACTGAGCAAACAATTGTTTGTAGGTATAAAGTACAGGCCACAGTTGCGACACTGCCCTGATCAGGAATAAAACGCAAGTTATCACCTGCTACTGAGAGAAAATTGGCCAGGATGGTCAAGAGTCAACGGAGAACCACCAAAAAGCAGGTCTGCAATGAATTAGGAGCTGCTGGAACACAGGTGTCAGTGTCCACCGTCCAACTTGTTTTACACCGCCATGGGCTAAGAGGCTGCCGTGCAGCAAGGAAGCCCTCGCTCCACAAGCGGCACATTAAAGCTCCACTGAAGTTGGCTGCTGATCACATGGACAAAGAAAAGGCCTTCTGGAGTAAAGTTCTGTGGTCAGATGAAACACAAATGACCAGAAATATGTTTGGAGGAGAGAAGGTAAGTAAGTAAAACTTTATTTATATAGCACCCTTCTCAACACGGATGTACAAAGTGCTTTACAGTACAGTACACAGGACACAATTCAAAGTACAACTATAAAATGTAAAATAAAAGGCATAAAACAGCAGCAGGTAATACATAGGATAAAACATACGATAAAACACCAATAAAAGACAGCCACTAACTCACCTCCGACGACCCAAAGGCCTGTCGGAAAAGGTGGGTCTTTATGTAGCTGAAATGCACCGATTCTGTCAAGAGGATTGGTCAAAGCTTAACCAGAAGCTTGCCAGAAGCTTGTGGATGGCTACCAAAAGCGCCTAATTGAGGTGAAAGTGGCCAAGGGACATGTTACCAAATATTAGCAATGCTGTATGTATATTTTTGACCCAGCTGATTTGATCACTTTTTCAGAAGACTCATAATAAATTCATAAAAGAACCAAAATTCATGATGTTTGTTTTGTGACAAAGAAGTATGTGCTCCAATCACAGAAAAATAAGAGTTGTGGAAATGATTGAAAACTCAAGACTGCCATGATATACATGTTCTTTACAAGTGTATGTAAACTTTTGAACACAACTGTATGTTTGGGTAAGAGATGAGTGACTTATATTGGGATGATACACTATCCAATACTGGGAAATGTATATTATTATGTTCTATTCAGATAATTAAATTAGAACTGAGAAATGGAAACATTAATACAAAGTCAAAATGCTTTTGAACATTACACATTCACACAGCAACTCTACACATTCTGTCCTTTTGTCTTCAGCTCGATGTGAACAGGCTTGATTCTCTTGTCTATAGCGCATACATTGTTTTCCCCCCATACTACAGATCAGTTACAACTTGTTTTTGGCACACTAATTGGGTCTAACTTTCGTTTCCTCCAGGGTTCTTGTATGTTTCAATTTAAGACCCATGAGAATGTAAATAAATACCCATGTGTATTTTGAAATCATACTGGCACGAGTATGAATGAAAACAAGTCAAAGAATGACTTATTACATGAATTTACTGACATGGTTTGATCAATACAAGTTGTATTTACAAACCCCAATTCCAATGAAGTTGGGACGCTGTGTAAAACGTAAATAAAAGCACAATACAATGACTTTTCTACGGATATTCAATTGAATACACTACAAAGACAAGATATGTAATGTAAATGCAATGTAAATATTCACTCATTTAGAATTTGATGCCTGCAACACATTCCAAAAAAGCTGGGTTTACCAATGTGTTATATCACCTTCCTTCTAACAACACCCAATAAGCATTTGGGAACTGAGGACACTAATTGTTGGAGCTTTGAAGGTGGAATTATTTCCCATTCTTGCTTGATGTAGGACTGCAGTTGCTCCACAGTTCGGGGTCTCCGTTGTCGTATTTTGCAATTCATAATGAACCCAACATTTTCAATGGGAGACAGGTCTGGACAGTCTAGTACCCTCACTGGGCACTAACACCCCCCCCCCCCCACAATTTTATTTTTGTAGGACTCTGGCCAGGTTTAAGGATTTCAGAAACTCCATTGTCAGTTGCTGTAAGACAGAGGAAATGTTTTAGGCTATACATCAGCATGGGCTCCATTATCCAACACGACAGGCGCCACAAATTAGGCGAAATGTCCTCTGATGGTGGCAAAAAGAGAACTTTTTACGTGTCAGATTGCTTTATTGACTTCACAATACTCCCACAAAGACCCTGTCGCCAGTTTCCTTGCGTGAAATTGTCTTCGCATATCTATTCTTGGATTGAAGCCAAATCCGTGTTTTGTAAGGACACAGAGACCCTTACCAATTTGACCACCAAGATTTCCTCCGTTCATCTCGAGTCCAAGAGGACATTTGTGCCAGATTTGAATAAAGGAGAATAGTCAGACGGACAGCCAACCTGAATGACATGATGCTTCGAGCCCTGGCCCCGCAGCCTGGAGGCTTAACCATGGTTCAATCAAAACCTGATCACTGCAACAACTTGTGCTTTGTTTTGTTATATGACAGTTAACAGGGATGTTGAAACTCAAGCATATCAAAATAATTTCTAATGATACACAGCCTATTTGAGAATCCATACAGTAAGGGAAACTGCTGATTTTAAAAGTCAATTAATCAAAGTCATCCTCATTTAGTGGGAATGCTGATACAGCATTCCAACTATATGTTATGCTACGGACAAAAAGTTTATTATTCCATCCAATTATTTTGGCCCTCTTCTCCTCCCGCAGTCAACATCGCAGAAACTCCGTTCAAACATCAAAACGTTCAGCTCGGTCGGGAATCGGGCGCTATTACTTTTATCATTCATAACTTTCATAATTCCAGAGATACATCCCATAATACATCACATTTTTAACATTTGAACTTTAACATTGCGCAGCTCGTTAAGGCAGAGTGCGTGATGTCACAGCTAGAGTGGAGCAAATCTTGAAATTTGCCTTCATATTTTTTTTTAAAACTGCCATAATTCCCAAACCCTACATTCCTGAGACATCATTTTTCATGACAAACGTAGGAAAACATCTCGTAGCTTGAAAAATGACAAATAATTAAGCAAAAATAATTAAACAAAAAGCCTCTTGAGGGCATGAAGTGACAAAAACGTTCAACATGTTTCCATTAAAACCCATTGTAATTTCAGGCAGATATTTCCTCACAGCAGCAGCCGCACACCTTTAGTTAAACTGCCAAAAAGGCCACATTATTAACCCGAAAGTACACAAAAATTACACTTCAGATACTCAACTTCCTTGACATGCTTCACGTTTTGAAATTTCACAGATATCTGTTATCGTTCTTCCACAAAACTTTCACATGTAAGAGGTTCATCTCTCATTCAGAACAATGAAACCTTTGATCTTTTCACAGCTCAACTATAAACACCTGTGTAATGGAACATCACTCACTCACTCACTCACTCACTCACTCTCTCACTCTCTCACTCTCTCTCTCTCTCACTCTCTCTCTCTCTCTCACACTCTCTCTCTCACACTCTCTCACTCTCTCTCACTCTCTCTCTCTCACTCTCTCTCTCTCACTCTCACACTCTCTCTCACTCTCTCTCTCTCACTCTCTCTCTCTCACTCTCTCTCACTCTCTCTCACTCACTCTCTCTCTCACTCTCACTCTCTCTCACTCTCTCTCACACTCTCTCTCTCTCACTCTCTCTCTCACTCTCTCTCTCACACACAGGTCCATGCCTCAACAGCTCTACGCCAAATCTGAGATCTCACCATAGGCTGTTTCCATGGAAACGCATCCCTCGCCATAAAACACGATGTTGTCGTGATACCTATGCAAATGGTCCAAACACCACCAGACTTCAGATGACAGTTAATGGTCCAGCCCTCAACATGTCTATATACCATTAGTAAGTTTTCCTCAAAAGCTGTTGCCATGGCAACGCATCCCTTGCAATAAAACACGATATTGCTATAACTCCTATGAAAATTGTCAAAAAGTGCTAAAACTTCACATGTGTGCTAACAGTCCAGCCGTGAAGACATCTACGGGACAGTTTTGAGATTTCTTCAAATGCCGTTGCCATGGCGACAGACCACTCGCCATGAAACACGATGTCGCTGTAAATCCAATCGACACGGTCCAATCGTCCCCCAATCTTCACTTGTATATCACCGGTCCATGCCTCAACAGCTCTACGCCAAATCTGAGATCTCACCATATGCCGTTTCCATGGAAACGCATCCCTCGCCATAAAACATGATGTCGCTATAACTCCTATGAAAATGTTCAAAAAGTGCTCAAACTTCACAGGTTTGGTAACACAGCCATAAACGCATCTAAGCGTATTATGGGATGTCATTCTCATAACTTCACTGAAAATGCTCCAAATGGCCCAAAACTTCACAGGTTTGGTAACACAGCCATAAACGCATCTAAGCGTATTATGGGATGTCATCAAATGCCGTTGGCATGGCGACAGATCATTCACCTTTTTACTTTCTTTTCTTCTCTCATCACACATTCAGGCCCCCAGTGTTCATGTATCATTTCAATCTCAATTCTTCACTTTCTTCTTACACATTACATTTCAGCATAGCAGTTTAGCGTCAGCTTTTCAGCATAAAGCATTCCCACTAGCAATTTCTTCAGGAATTGCATTCTCTAGTTTAATCTGTAGTGTACTTGGTTGCCGGAGCTCACCTGAACTTGATGTTGAGCAGCGGAGCGTCAGAGAAGTCTGTCAGACACTCTATGTTGAGGACCTGTTGGATCTGGGCCCCCCCCTCTACCAGTGGTTCTACTGGTTTGGTCTGAACGTTGAGCTGTGGCTGGTTGTCAAGGCTCATCAAGACATCACATACGGACTTCCACACACCTTAAAACTGTCTACACCATTCACACTTTCTCAGAACTGTGGAATACTCTAGATTTTCAATAGAAGTGCACATATCGCCTGACAAAACAAATACACACTGATTCATCCATGGGAAGTCACAAGTGTGTGTATTGGCAATCATTGAATCCATATTCTGTGCTAATTTGACTAGAACAAAATAAACAGTTTCTATGGAGAGAACGCACATGAAAGCGGGGGCTGTAGTGTAGAGTGGGCTGACAGCTGGGCATGATGAGAGGGCTCCAGAGACAGACCCTAGGCTGTAGGTTAGTCCCTCTGTTGAACGAGGCTGGTGGCCTTCTCACATGTTTTAGTGCTCTTAAGTGCACGTTAGAGAAAATGAGCCAAACTCATTTGTAATTTATCAGCGGATACTGATTTGTTTCTAATGAGCGAATATAGGACTGGTAGAGTAGCATGCTGTGTCCCAGTTTTCTGAAGTGTATTGGTTTCTGAACATACAGGAACATGATTGCACAAAAAGGATATGAGATTGCAGCTCCCCAGGATAGCTGACGGTGGTGGTGAAGCTGGCAAACTGCACTGAAGTCTTGTTACCGTAGAATAAGTACATTCTCCCTGAGAGACACAGTGTTGTTACACGGTTATTCTGCAGGGCCTAGCCGTCACTTTTAACTTAGGCCGGGCCCACTAGGCAAAATGATCTATCTGATACAGATGAAGTTATAAACCCACACTACACAGCTCTTTAAACCCAGTAGGGCTGGGCGATAAGGAACAAAAATCATGTGTGCACTGCACATGTATTTTGAGGTTGAAAGGCACAGTATATATAAACAGTATAAATATCTGTATTTTCTAGGAAATGGGCAATATGTTAGTAAGTCAAATCTACATGTGAGATGTCACAAGCAAACAAGACTAGTTTAGGCTGGGTCAATGGTTGGAATGTGTTGGGTTTATTAGCAAAGTTGTTTTCATATTGTTAAATAGTGGTTAAATAGTGTTATAATAATAGGATAGTTTTCTTCGATAGAGCAAAGATCGATGATGTAGGTTCATCACTCAGAGACTCAGTGACAGACTTCATGGGGCATGAGTGGGTTCCGTGGAGAATGTGAGGGTGGAGAGATGCAAACACCGACATGGCTTTACGAGAGGAACATCAAACTATATTGATTTCAGTCATATGTTCTCATCCTATATCCCGTTTGAAAAACTATTGATATATAAAAGAAGTCGGTATATTGTCCAGCCCTAAATATCAGTAGACTAGGCAACAGAACAACATCCACCATCTGCCAGGCCCCGCCAATCACAACAACCCATGTCAGAGTGTCACTGCATCCTGGCAGGACGCTCCTCTCTCTGTGAAGAACACTCACCCAGATTTTGACGATACTCTGACTTGATGCCAATCTGTAGAAGCTGATTCTCAAACAGAACCCCATTGTTCTTGCACACAAACCTGTTGGATGAAGGCGTTTCAAGGGTTAGTCAACACTAACATTTGCTTTGAAAATTGCACTTCTATCATATCCAAAGCAACCCATTATATCGACCCTAAGAAGGGTTTGTTCTGGTCAGTGTGACTTATATAAAGTGACTTGCTGTATTCAGAAGTGCTTCCAACAGCATTATCATTAAATAAAGCTTACACAGGTTAGTAGTTCCAGTCCAACTGCAAAATTATTATTTTCCTGAAAAACAGTCGGTCAGCAGTTGGTCAGCCGAAACAGCTGACCAACTGCATGTCTAACAGCATAGGGAAAAGGAGTGGATTTTGCAGAGACTCCTTAAAACACCAGAATTGGATTATCCCTCAAGTTATAACAGCACTCTGTTGATAGGATAGCTCTGTCAAGTGGATGTTATAGGTGTAATCCTTGTTCAATGTAAGTGCTTATCTCTCTCTTGCTATGGCTAACCCTACAGAAATCAAGTATGGTTTCAGCTAGGCAAACACATGACAAAGTACAGAGAGAGAAAGAGCTTACTTGTTAAGAAGTTCGTCTGCCTCAGGCAGAGGAGGAGCAGGATCCTCAGAGGGAGGAGCAGAGCTGAGAGCACAGGACAGCGCAGGGAGGAGGAGAGGCCCACAGGACAGAGGAGGAGGATACAGACAGGACACACAGCCAGGGAGGAGTCAATGGATAGAGTAGAAATGAGGAGTGAAAAAGCATCCATTCACCACAGGGTGCGGCACACAGTGAGATAAAGATTGGTTCAGAGAAACATGAGAGAGGAAGAAGAAAAAAAAGAGAAGAAAATGCAGCAGGGGTTAGTAAAAGCAGTTTGTATAAAATAATATCATTACACATTGAATGGTATCTACTGTTTTAAAATGTCTGTATGTTGATGCTGTACTCAAGCACCTTGAATCAGAAATGGAACAAATGCCTTTGAGATTGGAGTGCAGACTTTCAGCTGATTTGAGAGTTAAAGTATTCAGAACACATTTTGCCGACTCCACTGCACACAGATTTGACGACCTACATAATTGGCCACAGTTCAAAGTGTTTACATGTAGCAATGACTAACCACTTTGAAGAGACTGAATGAAAGTCAACTCTCTCCTCACACACCAGTTCATATCATATGGTATTTTCTTGAGTACAGAACCCAACAACATTCATTCTGTCATTTTTACTGCTCACAAATTTGTTCACATAACTTACAATGTCAGTTACACTCAGCGGCTCAATTAAAGAAGCATCAGAATGCCTTTTAGAAGATGTTATTGATGCAATTGTTAATGTTAGTAGTTCTGACTACTTTGCAACATTAGTTTGACAGAAAGCCAGTCTCAGTGGTCTACAGGTGGAACACTGTACATCTAATGATGATGATGTCTAATTGTCAGCTCCCATTGACTGCTTTCATAACATGTACATTAAGTGTATATGGTAAATGTTCTTGCCAGAAACAACAGGGGTCTATTTTCACCTACATTGGGAAAATGTTGGACACTGTTTTCTTCTCCCCGTAGATGAGCTCCTCATGGGTAACTATGGTATATGATTCCTTTGATAAGGTTTTGGTTTAAAACGTTCAAAGGCATAAGCATATATGTACATTTAATCTAGATACCTCATGTGATCAAGCTACACATTCAGTGTAGTGGATTTGATCAAATAATGTTCATTTGAAGATAAAAAGTCTGTCCTAGAAAACCAATGTGTATACTACTATACTTGTATTTCTTTGACACTAGCTAGTTCTGTAGTTTACTACTGGGCCCTTACTCCGAGTCACCAGAACCCTCCACCAATAGGGAGTCACAGGTCTCGGTGGGCTGTTCCAGATCTCTGTCAAAGTCCAATCACGGTAGAGGACAGGAGACAAACACACAGACACACAAACAGACAAACACACACAACCCCACACACACACACAGACAAACACACACACACACACAACCCCACACAAAAACAGACAAACACACACACATACACAAACACACACAGAGAGAGAGGGATAAGGAGAGAGGGGAAGGAGAGAAAAAGACGAAAGACAGTCACATACATAGCAAGATAATAAGAAAAGACAAGTATAGCAGACCTGCCAACCCTGAAAAAGTCTACTTCCTGCTCTCTGTAACCCCTGTAGACTGCTTAGAGACTGACAGCCTGCGTGTTCCCCCCGCCCGTAATGATTCAGCACACAGATCTGTTATCTCCTAACTAGGGTTACAACACATTTTTGTCTTTTACACTCTAAGAACGATAAATTGGATTCAAAACATTTAAGTAAATGCAAATTCAAAGTAGGGGGCGGCTTCTCTTGGTTTTTAGTGGTGAAAATAGAAGAGATATTCGTCTCTAGGCCAAGACACCAGTGACAGTAAATCCTTATTCTTGCTTATATTAAATGTGGGCGACTTATTATACAAAACCTGACCAAAACCTGAGTATGAATGTCTCTAGGTTGACAGGTCCATATTAGACAAAGATAGAGCAAAGAAAGAAAGAGCCATCAGTGCAGCAATCAGCACAGACACATGTAACATTTTAGCCTTACAGTGCAGACTACACCACAAACATTAACGACTATTTCACTTAACAGAAAAACAACAGAAAAGTCAAATTTGTACATCTATCACCATTAGGGTCAAAGACCTATTCAGCCTAGTCCAGTATGAGAGACACTTTCTGAACATTCTGTGTGTCAAACATGCACTTAAGTAACAGCTGGTTTATCAAATATGATGTCAACTAGAAAACTGATAAGTAGCTGGCTAGATATTCATCCTGGACTTTGGCTAATTCTCAATGTGCATATGAAGAAAAAGACCTTTCACCTTAGGAAGCCGTCATCGTTCACAGCAGCAGAAGGTGCAGCAGGCCCTGCCTCAGAGAACACATCCACCAATAGACTGCCCACACTGGCTGGAGCAGCACCAACAGGGGCAGCCGAACGAATCCCAAGGAGGTCTGCTGATGGTGACGGGGTGGACTGCAAAACAAAGGAAACTTGCAATATAGTATTTTTGTTGCAGCTGCTGGTATACAGGAAAGGACGCTAAAAGCAAACCATGATATACTGTTTATAGAGGCTCCACAGAGTCTGCTTACAGCATTGGAGGCAGCCATGGCCGCTGTGTCTGGCCCCCGCTCACCCCCTCCATTCAACTCCCCGCCCTCCCTTTTGCTGTCTTCCAGATCTGTCACGGACACAGTACCGGGCCCCTTCTTCTTCTTCAGCTTAGCCAAGATTGATGACTCCCGCTCTGGGAAGGGAGGCATCTCTTCCAGGACTGTAGCCTGCACAACACAGAGGACACTCATGCTGTGGGTCCAGACTCAGAGAGGAGCATACATCAACAAGAACATGACTGCAGGGATTTGGACTGGATCGTCTTAGAAGACAGTGTAACAAACATTTATTAACAATGTCAACCTGTGGTCCTTGAAACGTGAAATCATAATTATTTAACCTGAACTGTGTTGAGTCCTAAGAACTAACCAGGACATCTGTGCTAGCGATGGAGGAAAGCTTCAGATACTCGACAGCACGCTGCTGCAGCTCAACGTCTGAGTTGCGGATCTGGCTGTCGCAGCGCAGCACCTCCTGGATGGTGGCCTTGGTCTCCGGGAACAGGTTGATGAACTTGATGTAAGCTGACAGCAGCAGGGCGCGGGTCGGCACGGAGCACAGGTGGAACTTGGAGTGGAGAAGGTTGAACTGGACCAGGGGGCTGCATGACAGGACAGCAACGTTATTACATATGAATTAAACCGTCACTGTCACAGAGCCTTGGCAGCCAAAAACCAACATACCTGGAGCGTGGGTCTCCAGCAATAAGGTTTCCAAACTCTCCCAGAATGTAGCCTCCAACCTTCACCATGTTCTCATGACAGGCAGGGGCCTGCAGGGCCTGAAAGAGACGATAAATCAACTAACTGTCTTCTAACAATAATACAGCAGTGCTAAATGACACATTTCATATATCCTGATGTCTGAGTTTAAAGGTCTCCTATCATGCAAAATGCACATTTGGATGTCTTTAGGCGCTTTCACACCGGAGTACTTTTCCCAGGAATAGTTCTGATAGTTCCTGGGATTTTGCGTTCACACCAAAAAGATCTGGAACTAGAACTTTTTTTCGGGAACCTTTTCCCCCCTTTTCAGTCCCTGCTAGAGAGGTGGGACTTTCCTGGGGAGGAAAAGGTTCCCATTTCTGATTGGCTGGGCGAATTGCAAACCATGCCCCGTAAAACTCTGAAAAGTTTTTGTGAAGCCGCCATTTTATTTGCTCGCATTAGCATTATTAGCATTAGCATTAGCCCAGCGCACCAACGGAGAGAGACTAACTTATGGCAACACAAAAGAAAACATGGGAGCGGTGGAGTGATGAGGAGGTGTCGGAGCTTCTGGCGATTTACTCGGAAGACAATGAGTCTTCCCAGCAGCTTCTACTGAAGCCAGTCCCCAACTCCGGGGACTTCCGGCCGGGGACTTCAGGTGGCAGTATACGCCGTGAAGTGGTTTGCGGCCTGCCAGTAAACCCAAAGCAGAAGAAGATGAAGTGACGTCAGCGGCTTCATTTGCGTAATCCTCCCTCAGGGACTTATTCCGGTGTGAACGCGATCTACTAGATAGTTCCGGAACTAAAGATTTCCGGGGAACTAAGTTCCGGGAACTATTCCTGGGAAAATTGGTGTGAAAGCGTCTTTTTATACAAAAATGTATATGTGTTAGTAGACTCACAAAGTGTCCGAAAATACAACCCTCTCTCTTTTCCTCCGTACCCACATCTCTAAAAACGAGGGTACAACGGAGCTGATCCAGATTTGCTGCTGATATGACGTAATATTGAAAATGTGGGCTGGCTTTACGCCCATGGCCCTGTCAGAAACGTAGCTGTATCAGAAACAATGTGCAACGTTTTTTGGAAGTAATATGGTCTGTGTTTACATTAGCAAGCATTGCTAACTCTCAGAGCTAACCTGTTCTTGAGAGAGTATGTGTAAAGAAGCTGGATATAAAAAGGTAAGAAAAAGCATTTGAGCTCTATACCGTTTCAAAAATAATGTTTGATGTGGTTTGGAACATAATATGGCGTTTCATCACGGTAGTGTTTAGCTGAGTATCCCTCGTCTAACAGGGCTGAAATAGAGGGGTATGAGGCATGGCTAGAATGGATGATCTGTTTGGTATTTTGAGCAAAACACTTCATAGACATGTTTTTTATATATCTGAGACCTATAATATATGCCTAAAAATAGTATAATAGAAGACCTTTAATGCATTCCATGATGAGCAGAAATTCTTCAACAAAGATAAGAGGATTAAACCTTGTTGAATGGCCTGTTAATGAGTTTCTTTATAATGATAAAAAGGTAAAAGAAAATGCTTCTTCTTTGTCAACATACTTCACAATTCACACAAAAGAAAACAAATGCAGCGTAACTATTGTGGACATGGACACCTTCCGGAACAACTGCAGGTTAAGGTTGAAACCAGGAGATAATCTGCAAGACCCTCTGATCATAAACGTCTATTGTAGAAACACTGAAACACTGGTTGTCTTTCTTAGTTACTGTATCGCTCAGATGTGACGTTGGTGGGTTAAACGTTATGATAAAAAGAAAATAATCCTAAACCATTAAAAAAAGGACTCAATGATGTAAAAATCAAACAGAAGTTTCCCTAACCCTAACATAGGTTGATAACAGACTGCAAGTTAGTATTGCTTATTAAAGATAAAAAAATGTTGAAATATAAAAGATGTTACTCAATTAATTTTGTTCAATTAGCAAAGAAAGAAAAAAACATTTCACTACATTAGATTATGTATCTGAACAGACAATCTATGTCACTTTTCAGTACTTGATAATCGTCAGATATATGCAACAGACATTTTAGTCCATCACATTCAATCCGTTTCCCTCTCAGCTAAAGACCTGCATTTCAATCTACTGCTGCGGTCAGAAGTTACATTTTATGATTTTGTGTAGTGTTACCTCAAAGACCGTCTTAGCAGCGTAGCCCTGCACATCGTCTCGATTGATGACGATCTGAATGACGCGATACCACACCTCTTCACTGACGTAGTCTCCGGCTATGCGTATCAGGTTGAGAATGGTGTCCACGTACCAGGAGTAATCCACGGCATATTTCTCTGCAAGTATGGCTACTTTTAGCACCTGAATGAGGAAGGCATAAAAAATAACAGCTCAATCACTTTGAAGACTTTAAATATGTTGGGTAAACTGTAAGGCTACTGGAATATTTTTTTCTATATTGAAGACTGCAATTTTCAACATGCAACTGGTGGAAACAAACCACCTTCTATGTTAAGAGAGGAATTTAGTCTTCACATCTGGTGAAAAAACAGAACATAGCGTGGCATTAAAACCTGGAACAGTCTTTCAAACCCACCATCTCCTCTCTGATTGAGTAGTCTGCTGTCTCGAGGTAGCTGAGCATCTCAGCTACGATCTGCTTGGCATTGCTGCGATCGCACATGGCATACAGCAGATCAGCGGCCCTCTGTCGAACACTCACATCCCTCTCAGTCTGCAGTTACAAAGAAACAAACAGTGACAAAACAGAAGGGGAAAAGGTGACGGAAGTATAGGTAGACCAAAAGACAACTGTATAACTGTGTGCTACTGGACAGTATAACACACTTAGACTGTAACCTTTGAAAGCTATGCTGATTTGTGAAGGGAAAATGTACATGGGACGACTTGATTAATGGTGGTTGGTAGAATTATGCTGCTTGAAAAAAGTTGATCACACTGGTAAGAGACTATCTTTAGTTCTGACAGTGAGACAGTACCTTGAGGGCGTTGATGACGGTCTCGATGTGTGTCTTGACGGCTTCATGGGAAAACTCAGAGCTGGCCAAGGTGCACATGCTCTCTAGAGCCAGGTAGCGCAGGTTGGTCTCCCTGTGCTGCAGGAACTGGCCCAGCTGATTACAGGCTCGCACCAGCAGGTTGGGCTCGCTGCAGAACACACAGCCAAACTTACTGCACTGTCAACAGGCTTCAGTTAAGTTCAAATGCGCGTTCCCTCCGGAAGATTCGCATGCATTACTCATGCGAGTTTGACCGCGGCATCATTTGTCTTTACTAGCGTGACACAAACTAGACGCGCTGGAGAGGAGGCGGGGCTTATCTTAATGTTGATACCAACAACAACATTTACTTATGTTGACTGATTTAATTATAAAACTAAAGTCAAATTGATGCTGAAATAATGATATACTAATACCAGTTAGTAAAAACAATGAATGAATGCTTTGGCGAGTGTATCCACAAGCCTCCACACTTACAATAACAACATACAGACAGACATAAATGAAGCCGCAAATTGCCATGCCTCAGACAGTCTGGAAGGAACTGGAACTGAGAGCTCTGTGTGCCATCGCCCAGAGCCAACGGCTGGGGTTTTGTTTTGTTTTGGTTTTCTGATTTAACAACGTCAGTGATGACAAACTGAGATCCTCAGACAATCACTTCGCCTCCAATGTGAACACACCAGAAATTAGATTTCACACTAGTTCATCAGAATTAGAAACAGGTTTATTACCAGGTAGGTTGACACGTACGAGGAATTTGACTTGATGTCATTGGTGCATACATAAAACTAAAACTAAAATTAAGAGAACTATTTTAAGAAAACTATAATAACATAAACAAATAATAAAAAATATAGTAAATGAATCATACTAATAAAAAATAATTGTAATACAGTGAAGGGAATATAGAGTCTTGTTTACATACGTAATATCTCCAGTCATTTCTCACGTTGCAGAGGATACACTAAAGGTGCTACACTGCTAAGTTACTGAATTCAATACTATGACTGTTTGTATGTGTCAGCTAATGAGAGTCGGAACACTCACCTGTCATAGTGTATGATCAGTGAGATAGCCTCAAACAGGATTGCATTCTTGGCATTGGAGTGTTGCACCTTCTTGGACTTGGGTGGCTCCTGTGCCTTATTCAGGATGGTCTCCAGACATTCTACCAGACGACCCTTGACAGCACCATCTTCTGGTGGAGGGTAGCACTGCAGCAGACGCAGCAGCTTGCAGGAGAGCCAGGGTGCCGGGACAAAGTAGTAGGTGTAGTCCTGCAGATCAGTGGAGGCCGAAGACACAATCTGCCGAGCCAACAGAACTAGTTGTAGCAATTACAGCTAATTCAAGCTAAATATGTGCCAGAGACTGCCTCACTGTCTTTGCAAAGCACAGCTTACTTTCCCATAACCAAAACATATCTACAGTATCCAGAACCAGAACCATGGAAGTCCAGTTAGTTGCAAATGGAGACTCTCTGTATTTGTCTTAAAACTAATCATTTCAAAATGTGTGTTTATCATACACTAGCATGCACAGATATCACTCGCTGGGTAATGAGCTACACATCCACCTGGGAAGCCGATCTTTGATAATCGACTGATTAACTTATAATTTTGCTTTTAAACAGTATCAGAAGCTCATAGAAAACAATGCCGTCAATGCTTAGGAAACATTGTAAATGGAGAGGAATGCTTGTTGTTAATGTAGAGCAACACAATCTAAATAAAACTTTTATTTTTACAATTTATTATTCAGGAAGCACACACACCCACCCTGCTAAGTCGGGAAACGGCCAGTGAAACGCAGGTCTTGAACTCATCTGGATTCTTCTGGCTCAGACAGGTGATGAGAGAAATGGCTGCTGTCACCACACCCTGAACACAGAAACATACTCACAATAAGATGATTAATAATCCCATAGATATATCCATTGATATCAGTGGTGAAACTAGTGTCCTTGATTAAAAATGTATTTATAACAAAACAAATATGTTGTGATGTTGATAGGGGTCAGTTCATAAGAGAAAACTCATAAAAATGTCATATAGATTCATGATCAAACAGGCACAACAACACTGCATTATGTGACCACATTACTGGTGTACGGGGGTCTGAATTGTGCACTCACCATGTGTTGGTCATTGAGCAGGTGCACCACGCGGGAGGTCCACTCCCCCATCAGAACCAGGTCAGGAGAGGTCTTATAGAGGCGCAGCAGACACAGGGCAGCAGACTGCTTCACACTGTCCATGGTATCACTGTGGTGCAGCACATTAACGTTACCAGCATTAAGTGAAGTCAGTGTTGTAAATGATAGAAAACTGCCTTAGCTTCATCACTCAGCGAAAGAGAAGAAAATCAGGATGATGTCATTGATTTTACTTCCTTAACACTCACAAAGCAGAAGTCCCTAGTTGGATCTTTTACCGTTTGATACACTACCTTGAAAAATATAGAAATTAAATACTATTTCTCAGGGGGATTGGCTAACCTTGGGCCCAAAACAACACAACACAGACAGCTGGAACTCACCCAGCAACCAGGATCCGAGGGATCTCACTGGCAAAAGCCTCAGCCATCTCACGGCTTCCCACGTTAGCAATACAGTGAAGTGCCAGGCACATGAAGGTGGGGTTGCGGCTGGAGAGGTCATTCTTGATGGCGTTGTTGATCAGACGAATCAGCTCACTGTTGCTGTTTACCAGCACTGAAATGAACAGGTAACCCTGGAGTAACAGAGAACAAGACAGCAATGATACCACTGAGATGAAGTGAAGCCATCTCAACAACATAGAATTAAAAGTGTTAATTGGTGTGAAATATGGTTAAGGGACCGTACACATAAGCATGTTTTGCCCTGGATATCTACTCTTGTGCCAACTTTTCAAGGGAAGGCAGGACATGCCATACGTTGCTAGGCGACCATCTGAACTTTTTCAGGGTATTGTTTAAAAAAAAAAAAAATGTATTAAAGCACTGCTCACTCCATATAAATGCAACAGCAACGCCAGCGCAGACCTGCTTGTCATGTGACTGCAGCTTAACGACCCCTATCACTCAAAGTCAAAATTGTCCTTGACCCCATCACACCCAGCCTATACATCAACCATTAACAATTTCAATGTTTCTGTAAGTTATTAACTACTGACTCGGATGCTATTATTTCCCTGTTAAATAGAGTGCCACAGTGACGCATCCTAAAACCCGGAAGTAAGTTAGCATTTTACCACTTCCGGTTCCTTCGACAAAAAAGCAATGCAATTTCTCCATAGGATTTAGGAAAATAGCTGGAAATAAGGTCTGTGTTTGACACACATTGAAGAGACAGATCACATTTTGTTCTACGACATTAAATACATCAGCAGTGACCCCACTGGTGATTTTTGAAGAGTTTACGTGTCTTAAAAACGATGGTTGTTAACATGTGGCCGTTTTACGTCATTACACCGAACACGTAAAACACTCCCGCTAAGTTTGTTTTTCCCCGTGTTCTGCTTGAAAGCAAGTACCTGCCTCCTGCAAACTGTTAAAACAAACGCTTCAACTTATACAATTTTGAATCTGTAGTTTTGAATATGGATCTTAAGTTGGCGTGACGTTGAAGCAGCGACCCTGCTGTAGTTCGTTTATAGCATAACGTTAGCATTTTGCTTCTGGCGACTAGATTTATGATTATAAAATTATAAAAGTAGGGTAGACATGTGGATATTATCCGGCTGAACAAATGTGATCCGTCTCTTAAATGTGTGTCAACCACAGACCTTATTACAAGCTATTTTCCAAAATCCTATGGAGAAATTGCATTGCGTTTTTTGACGAAGGAACCGGAAGGAGTTTACTTCCGGGTTTTAGGACGCGTCACTGTGACACTCTATAGAGAGGCGAAGTCCCACCCATCTACTTCCGACCCATGGGACCTTATTTCGGAAAAATTATGTATTGAAGTCAATGGGGAGAGAAAACGTATCTTTCGATCCCGTTTGAATTGTGCCATGAATTACACATATGATGTTTGTCAATCTTAAAAAATCATTTCCATGTCAAAAAGTCACAGTTTGTCGTAAAACTGTTGAAATATAAGACTATGAAAAATACGCAACTAGAAAGACTACAAATCCCAGAGTCGCGTAAGTGATCACGTTAGTTAGCATTACAGCCTTAGCCATGTCATTTTTATTAGCCTTAACATGAAGTAACATTAAGTAACCCAAAATGTTAAACAGTAAGAGTAGTAGTCATATTTTGTGAACCCTTTGAAGAGTACTGTCACACCGGTGTGATCATTCTATAATATACCGTTTAAGCCCGGATGCCCCCGGGGGAGACATGCTAACGCTAACGCTAGATTAGCATCTGCGATCTTTTCTACTTCATGCTATCTGCACAAATGGTTAACATTGAACATTAAAAAGATCAGGCAGTTCAGGGAGAATCAAAGGAAGCCAGGCAGGCAGGCAGCTTTGCATGACATTCTTCTGGACGTGTTTCATTGTGGTGATAGTGAGGGTAGTCAATCCCTTGTTTGGCAAGACAGTAGTGTGACGGCCATTTTGGTGACGTGTGTTGTTGTGCGAGACCAGAGATGTAGTTCATTGAGCGGTTTCACACAACAAAAGTATTACTTCACAGTTTTACGGCAAAACATTTTTTTTTTACTTGCAAAATTATCTTTTAAATTGACAAACATCGTATGTGTAATTCGTGGCACAATTCAAACGGGATCGAAAGATAACTTTTCTCTCGCCATTGACTTCAATACATAATTTTTCAGAAATAAGGTCCCATGGAGGTCCACCGGAAAGGGAGGGACTTCGCCTCTCTATTGCTCACCTGCAAGAACCACAAACCAATGCACATCACTAGTGTGAATTAACCACTAGGTGGGGCTAAAACATTACACATCTTTGAATAGCAGATTCATGAAGAACAAGAATCTGTTTCAGAGATTAAATTAGAGCAGTTCATATGACAGTTGCACTTTTCCTACTTTTTTTTGTTTTACCCTAATAAATTAAGCAACCACGGGGTGAATCATGAAAAAGCTCTCACCGTAATAAATGTTCTTGGTTTATAGTAGTTATTAATGCCTTCGACTCTGTCCATACTCTGTCTGAGCAGTAGTTTAGATGTTTTTGAGGGCACACTAATGGAGACCCTGACTCAATATTATTCTGCCTAGTCAACATTTCCTGTTCCTGTGAAAATTGGTCCACTACACTGAATCAGGAAATACACACAGTGGCTTAGGTTTTTCTTCTGCTTTAACATTTAGAGCATTTAAATATGTATTACTCATTTAAATGCCTTTGAAAAAAAAGGGACACACTCACTTCGTAATCATATTCAAACTGCAAAATTATCCAATGAATGCATTGTTAAGTCAAACTAGTTTTTCACCTGTGGAGCTGGTGTCCCGTGATTTTGACAGATTAGAAGGGCAATGTGCTGTGAAAAAGTCATTGACAGTGGGTTGAAGAGCTCCTGACTTGAGGCCTTGGAGTGTCTCCTCCTTTCTCCTCTCATCTAACAGCTGTGCCACAGGCTCACAAGCAGAGTCTTGTCAAGTTCTTCACTTTCTTAGGAGAAAGGTTCCCCCTGTATTCTAAACTGTGGTTCTAGTGGTGCTTGTAAATAAACCAAAATAGCTAACTTTATCAGAGGTCATCTGTCCAGATTTTTCTGGATACAGAAACTAATTCTATAAAATGTAATTGTTGCTATCTGTCTGTTCAGAAACAAAGACGCGTTTTCAGTGGACTCATTGTCATCGTCTGTTCTTTTTTTTCTCCATGTTCGTATGTATGCAAAATCTATAAACGTGTTCTGTATGTTATTATTACAAAAATAATTAAGATTAAAGGCTAACAAATATGTCTTCTAATCACTAAAAATGATAAACAAAATGCTGGGGAAAAATAGATTATGGCTGAATTTCACAACTGTGTCTGAGAAAGACAGACTATCTGTTAATCAGTTGTGTCCAAGGTCAATACAACAAGAAAATTATATTTATTCTTAAGAGAAAATCTTTAGTATGAGTTCTTGGGTATTTTAGGAGGTGTACATTCTTAATTCAATTGTCTGTGCCACTTAAGAGCTGTGGTCATCCATACATCAAATTGTCTGGAGTTAAACTTTCTTGTTATCCATCATTTTGGCAGACAGGGGAGTTAGATTTCTGTCATTAATCTAATACTACCCACCATTGTAAGTTAAACATGTTTGATTATACCAATAAGTCTTAAATAGCATTAACGATTCATTTATTTAATAAGCTAAAAAAGTATGCATTTCAAAGTATATTATTTATTATATATATATATTATTATCCAACGGCTTCTGCGTCAAAAGCCAATAATGTTATATTGTATTGGGTACCCCAGCTGGTCTGTGTGGGAACCAGAGAATGTTAATAGTGAATAGGCTATAGCAGTAATTGACTTTTTTTCTGGTTTACGGTTGCTTATCATGATTATTGATAATGTTGTGCTTGCATTTCCATAGAACCGATAAGTTGGACCTGACCAAGAACCAATGTTTCAAGCTGAAACTAGTTGGGGTTCGGCAGGGCAACAAATGATTAACAACAGAGTCTGATACCTGGCATAATACTTTGAAAGTTTGTGAATCTGACAGTATATGGATGATGACACACAGGTCATTTACCTCTACTTCTGTCAACACTGACAGTCAGTACAGATCAGGTGCAGTGTTTCACATGTTGTTCTGAGACAGATTTCATAGTGATCACATAGTTTAGCTCTCAGTGAGCTAAACTATGATGAGCTCAAAACTTTTGAGGATCTAAATAACCAAATAACGCTTTGTTTTAACATGCAGGTTTTGATGCAGGAATAATAGAACCCATATAAACAGGAACTGATTAGACATCCCCATGAGAGAAAGATGGCTTGTTTGGTTTTATTAAGTTGATTAAAGAAATAGGAAAAGGAGAATATATCAAATATATATCAAATAAGACCATTGCAAATGTATCAATTTATCTGGTTTAAACATTTATAGGTAACATTTTTAGTTTTATTCAGTAAATTCATGACAGCTAAATTGAAATAAAAAATATTATCATTGAGTCAAATAAAATAATAACTGGTGAAAATAACAAAAGATGTGCAGTGTTTTTTAACTTAAAAAAATGCATATACATATTTATCTATAAACAACACAATACCAATTGTGTAACTAAGAAAGAGTTTCAAATCAATATTATGTGGAATAACCCTGATTTACATTTACAGCTTTCCTGTGTGTTGGCATCCTCTTCCCGTGTGTCACATTGCTGTTGGCAGACTGATACCTCTTTTCCACGAGGCCTTTCCACATACTTTGAATGGCAACCCCTTTGCTATCATTCTGACACCAACAAGTACCTACTTATTCAATATTCCATTGTTTTGCACTTTGAGGGATGTTCACTCTGACGGCGCAGCGACTTAAAGGCTCCTACATGGCGCTGGTCAGTGGAAAAGCAAACTGGTTTTCAAAGGTGCACAAGTTTAACCAACTGCAAACCAAGTAGCCCTCAGGAATCATCAAGATTAAGATGAGTCAAAGCCCAGCTACTTGAATTTGTGTGGCAGGAGTGGTAGAGTCAGCCAACAGACAGGTGCCAAAACAGGTCGTGCTGTGATGGTAAATCCGGGTTATTTCACAAAACATTGATTTCTTAACTCTTCCCAAGTTAAAACATTTGTATTGTAGTGTTTAA